CTCGAAATCTCTGGCCGCAGCATGTTCGTAAATGTTCGTCCATGACTGTTGCGTCATTAAGTCGGATACGAAACCCATACGAATACAGATGCCTTCACACATGTATCAATGTACTATTACGACAGCCAATCGAGTCTTGAAACGCAGAAAACTTATAATACCTACGCATAACGCACTAAATAATTGTGACCAACCTCATAGGGAATCAAGGTGAAGATATAACATGTAGAAGACTATCTTAGAACGTAGGGTCAAGAAAAAATACTGCATGTAATAATATATTAATGCTAGTATTGCATAATAAAATTTAAGGTGAATTAATGTGATATCTGTCATTTTGTTTTATATTATCAAAATCATTAATAAACTTAAAAGCAATAATGCATTTTAGAAGATTCACTATCGCATAAGATGAAAGATATAAAAACAGAATGTCATGTAACATTTTTACATTGGAAAGTAAACAATGGGAGAGTACTTTAAAAAAATTGCAAAAAAAGTGCAAAATGTTCAACGCAAATTTACATTTTTTTACAGTGTTCCAAATCCATTAAATAATAATAATAATAATAATAATACACCATTTAAAATTCTTTAGTCTGTGTTCTAAAACGATTTCATATTCTTAAAAAAGGTTTTCTGAAAGTTTACTTGCATTTCCACAAAAAATGCCGAGTTATATATTATAAAAAATGAAGAAAAAGGGATATGGAAATTGAAACCATATTAAGAATATATTTATGTCTGCCCAATAAGATTATAGTACTCGATTCAAACTTACTGCATCAAAGTAACTTGAAATTAAATTACATAATCCCACATGTAATTTGTAGAATAATTTATTTTAATAATGATAGCTTACGAAAACGTAGAAATTAAAAAAAGATTGCTATTTGTCTGACATTTTTTCCTTAACAGAAAGCAACACCTAAGAACACGCAATGGCGAATAGAGCTTCACCCAGCAGGAGAAATCGCGCTGCCAAAGAAGCGATGTACGCCACAATGTACGGCGCCTGTTCCCAGAAGCGAGGCTGGCGGTGCGTTAAAGTCGACATAAAACGGCTTGGGGAGGCAGCGGATCTTCGATTCGGCCTGCGCGAACCCAACGCGCTTTACAGCTGCCGGCCGCTCCCAGGAGCTTCCGAACTCCCCCCCTCCCCGCCGTCCAGGACCGCCCTCGCCGCCCTCGCCGCCCTTGCCACCCTTGCCACCCTTGCCACCCTCGCCACCCTCACCGCCCTCGCCGCCCTCGCCGCCCTCACCTCCCTTGCCGCCCCCACCTCCCACGCCCCCACCGAGAATTCAACGTGCTTTACAGCTGCTCGCCGCTCCAAGGAGCTTCTGATCTCTCCGTCACCTCACATCTACCCCTCACCACTTCCCCTTCGCTCCAGCCGACCCCACACAGTCACCCCCACGACCTCTGCCCTCGCCTCCATCACCGCCTCCGCCCCTCAGTCCCTACCGATACTCGCTGGACGCGAAGCTAACGGTCTAACCCTCGGTGCAGTCGCCCTGGGTAACCTCGTAGACTCTCCAGTGGTTCCCGCTACCTGCTAAGCCCATCTGCCCAAGATGCTCGTGCATCTCACCTCCATTTCGTTACTTCTTCCTTCTCTGCTGTCTCTTCCGCTGGTTGTCGCTCTCACTCCCCTCACCCACCTGCCGACACATGGTCATCCCTGAAAGATCTGACGTTCCCATTCACTGTATCCTCTCTTAACGGCAATGTTGTTGCCGCTCCCCCAACATCATTCTGTCCCAGGGCATCAAGTGATGTCACTGCAGTGCCCCTGACTGGAAGGTCCTGGGGTTTCGAGCCATGACGGTGGCAGGATTTACGTCATTAACCAGATAGGTGGGTCATGTCCTGTCGCTCTCTGGGGGAGAATATTAGCGGCCGGCTACTCAAAGTGGTGGTTTTACGTGGTGTCTCTGATCAATACCAGGCGAATGCTGGAGCAGTTCTCTAACAAATGGGTCACGGACCACCCGCGAAGTTTTCCTTCCACTTCCTGTTTCGAGTCATGACGGTGGCAGGATTTACGTCACTAACCAGGTAGGTGGGTCATGTTCTGTCGCTCTCTGGAGGAGAATGTTAGCCGCCGGCTACTTAAATTGGTGGTTTTAAGTGAGGTCTCTGATCAATACCAGGTAATGCTGGAGCAGTTCTCTAACAAATGGGTCACGGACCACCCGCGAAGTTTTCCTTCCCCTTCCTCATTCCTTTTCGCACACTTATAATTACACGCACTACACTATAAGAGATGCTGGGAAACCGGTCAATGGCTTAAGGCTAGTAACCGCTGGGGCGGTGTCCCGTTGGACGGAGATGTTTGGGGAAAACCCCACTGACAGACGGTAGGTTGGCGCCGGATCTTGCTATCCATCAGGGCAAAATCAATGCCACCTCCTGAGCAAGGAACATGCTCTACACTTTGGGACTAATGGTCTTAGCAGTTGTCGCGCTTGGAATCACCAGTAATCAATCAATCAACAGCATCTCACCATCGACGTACCCTCCTACATCGTCATTCTCTTTTCTATCCTAACCGCATTCGTCGCCTCAACCGACCACGTCGAACCCGTTTCCTCATCAACCCCTCTGCGCACGGCATATACACCCCCACACCGCCATCACTAGTTTTGTCTGAGAACCGCCCGAAACACTAGTAATCAATCAATCAACACCATTCTCACCATCGAGGTACCCTCATACATCCTCATTATCTTTGCTATCCTAACCGTATTCGTCGATTCAATCGTTTACGTCGAAGCCGTTTCCTCATCAATCCCTCTATACACTCCACCCCCCTCACCTCCGTCACTAGCTTTGCCTGAGAACCACCCGAATCACTAGTGATCAATCAATCAACACCATTCTCACCACCGATGTACTCTCCTACATCATCATTCTCTTTGCTATCTTAACCGTGCTATCCTCACCAACAACGTACTCTCCTATGTCATCATTCTCTTTGCTATCCTAACCGTATTCGTCGCTTCAACCGTCCACGTCGAACCCGTTTCCTCCCCAAGCCCTCTACGCACGCCACATCCACCCCCGCACCGCCGTCACCAGCTTTGCCAAAGCGCCGCCCGCCTCGCGTCCTCTCCCCCAGCCTCCACTCCCCGGATTAAACATGGCCGCCTGATTCTCCGGTGCGTCGCAGCTGACGCCGCTCCGGCGCTCCCCCTTTCCGCCCTCTTCACCTTCCGCATCCTCCTCGCCCTCTCCGCCCCCTGCGGACCAGTCCGTCCGGAAACAGCCACGCCCGGCCGGCGGGCGGCGAGCGCCTGGCCCCGCGCCCACTGCCTGCGCGAAGTCCAGCCGCCGCGCCCCCTGCTCGCCAACGGCTGGCGAGGTTCGATCCGACGTGTTTTAGCGCGCATGCACGAGCCGGAAGTACAAAAATAGACGCGCAGCGGACACAGCAGTGGTCTGGTCGTATTAGCGTCCATAGAGGCCTTAGTGATGCGTGAATGCTGGTTTAGGAGTCTGAAAATGACGAAAATGCGAGTTCGATATTTGTACAGAGGAACACCGGACACGAAATTCCGTTTGAAATGTGGAGCAAGACAGTTTCGTTGCGCTGTCCACGAAGAAAAAATTGTACTCATTTCTATTGAAAACTTTATTAATAATAATATATTTTGACTACTCATTAATAAAATATAGGTGTTGTGGTAAGATATCTTTGGCATTTTTAAAATAATTAAAGATGTTGTCATTGCCAACAATATTTTTTAATGCAATAGCAGCTTTCGATGGCTTAGCCATCATCATCAGTTGTCTGCTAGATGGAAGCCACAAAACGACTAGTACGGGTACGCCATCGAAAGCTGCTATTGCATTAAAAAATATTGTTGGCAATGACAACATCTTTAATTATTTTCATTAATAAAATCTGCAACCACAAAGTTACCTTCAATAAAACGAAATAGTTTCAACACAAGAGTTTTCCTTTGTGCACAAGAATGCATGAATGCAATGAAGAATAAATAGTTTATGTAAGATTACGCACGATAATCAAGAAATGACATGTAAATGCCGGACGCTTTAATTGAATAACAAAATTCAAATCTTTCAAAGCATTTATTACTCTGACCGAGAATCTAATCCGGATCTCGTAGTTTAGGTTTAGTTGCTTTCACTACTATGCTACTTTGGTAAGCAATGTATATTTCACATACTATATTTCCTTCCCATTTAAAAGAGGTTTCTTATTCTATTAAGGATAATCACAAATATGGGTATTTTGTATACTGATATAACATTTGCAAATAATTTCCTCAACTCCAGAGATTCCTTGATTCCTTGTAATAAAGATTCCTTGTAATAAAAATGTACAATAAGTGGAGAGAAGACTACAAACTGCCCAATAATAGAGGATATTTAATTGCAATTTAGCAAGTATGCAGTCGCCGTGGATGCGTGTTACCGTCACCATAATACTGTGATAAACGCGCAAAGAATACGTTGGCGTCACTAATATATCTTGCATCGCTGTCAAGTTCCATTCTCACTCGCAATGTAGGTTTGTAACTTGAATCTGGCTTGACGTTGGAAAATATTGAGCGTACATTGTGTGTACATAGCTCTGAAAATAATGAGTCTCTGCCAGCCACAATGATAAGTAGATCTCGTCGTTCGGCGCAAAAATTGCCCTGGGCCCAGACGTCAAAGTGTGTAAATAATACTGCATCATATTCAATTTCGTTCTTCAAATCTTCAGATGGTCAAGAACTGAAAGCTAATGATTTTGCTTTGCGTGATTTGCCTACTATTTGCGATAATAGATCTAATATCATTGAGAATGCAATGAAAATATATGGATGTCATTTTCACAATTGTTACCATACTGGATACATCAATAAACAGAAAATACGTTACGGGGCATAAAAAAATTCTGCTAACCTTTCCCAGAGACACGGTGCTAACATTACTAAACGGAGCATAGTGTCCTATCGTGGGCATAGTGTCCTATCATATCGTCCTTATACTTTGATGACGAAGAGAGCTCCGCTGTCCTGTGATAGCTCAACATTATGTTTACTCAACGTCACCATGTTAGAAATATTTTTAGCTCCAAGACTTCGTTCTCTTGCAAATCTTGCCATTCAGCATACCTGATTTTAACAGGATGGTGCTACATCACACTCTGTTCGACAGCCTACAGCATCAGAAAGACGTTTGTTATGGGACCGCATAATTTCAAGTAATGCACTTTCAGACTATGATCACTTTTTATTAGAACATCTGAAGAGAATTGTTTGCCAGGCGAGACTAACAAACCTTGCACAACTCAAGACTCAGATTGAATAAAATGTCACAAACATTCTGGAGTACATATTGGGGCACGCAGTGTAAAATTTTCCGAATCGACTTGCTGAATGCGTGGTGCGAAATGACAGCACTTAACTGACGGAAAATTTAAAATGTATTTTTACTCCTTTAGAACAAACTTTCAGCACTAAATTAACGTTTGTAACTTTTCTTAATTTTTTCCAAATATATATTTGTAACATGAATTGAAGACCAAAAATAAAACCTGGGATACATGTCAAAATGTGAAAACTTGTATTTTATGCTGAATAGATAGATAAGTGTCAAGCGCCATGTGGTATAAAATGTGCTCTCTGAATATCTCATTCTTAGTGTTTCGAATTGTCGGTACTAGACTGCGCATCAGTCAAGCACAGCCCGCGAGCTTTTGAAACAGTTTTTCTTCATTACCCCAGTATGCCATTTTTGGCACTTAGCACGGCTTTTACTTAATGTCTACAATTGTTCCCGCCACTTCAATATCTCAGTTATACACGTGCGATGAAACACAGAGTGGGAAAACGGGAGATCGATAATACTAAAGTACGACCACCGAATTTGCTCTGCTTTCTTCTTATTCAAGTATCCCGCCATTTGTGTTCATAACTTGGTCGCAGTTTCAAGCAGTTTTGGTAGTTACAAAAACTGTTAAATTGTAAAACCTCATAAGAAACTACCCATCAATTGATGATGGAAGATCACAACCAACGAAAGTTTAAATCGATTTCTAATCTTTAGAAAGCAATACGAACAATATCTGTTCTCAAGTACCTGGCAGCAGATGGCCGACCTAAGAGTAACCAGGAGTGAACAAATATTTGCACAACCTTAAGAGGTCAATAACTCCGAACTTTGAGCAAGGAAGAACCAATATTATTGGAAGCGACAATCCCACAAACGCAGGAAACCGAAACTTTCGCCCTTGAGTAGTGAACAAGAGCCGCACGCGAAACGGACGAGGCGCAGTGGGTCACGTGATTGGTGGCACGACCGCCCTCCGCTGCGGGTGTCGCAGCGGCCGGCGGCCAGTTGTGTCGCCTTACCCGTTTAGAAACTCGACTACGGCGGGGCGCTCGCGCTCCGGTTAAGGAAGGCCCGCGGTCGCCGGGGCGCCCAGCGGCCGACGGTGGCAGGTGGCGCGCAGCCGGCGCGGTGGCGCGCCGGGCGTCACCAGAAGCGGAGCTTTGAGGGGGCGGGGAGGGGGACGGAGGTTGAGGAGAGGGAGGCGCTGGGAAGTAGGGCGGGCCGGACGGAGGGGGAGAGACAGAAGGCCCCTGGCTGGTGGTCAAGGCTAGGCGTGTGTTGACGAGAGGCAGGGGTGTGAAGGAGGTTGGTGCGAGAGGGTCGAGATGGACACAGTTGAGGTTGTGTTGACGCTAGAAACGGGCAGGAGCGGGGTGAACGTTTGGGGGTACATGGTGGGGACTGGAGGGTGCATGGCGGGGCGAGGATGGGACGAGGAGGCGTTGTGGGTTCGTGGCAGGGAGGTGGCGAAAAAATAGCGGGTGTATAACGGAGGGAGTCGAGGGCTTGGCGGGGACTTGGAGGGTGTGCGGCAACTGCGGGGCGGGAGCGTGTCGAGTGCATAATGGAAACGAGTCGAGGAATGGGTGAAATCGTCGTGGGGCGTGGCGTGACGAAGGATGGGGGAGCGTAGAGCGGCGCGGAAGAGCGTGGTGGGGTCGCGGCGAATGCGTGAAGAGTGTGTGGCGGGTGAAGGCGTGGTCGTGGCAGGGAACAGGACGGGACGTGTCGGGGTATGGATGAG